ACCAATCTTTCAAAATTGCAACAGTCACACTTTTTTTTTTTTTTTTTTTTTATACCTGGGTGGGGGAGGTATCTTAGTTGAGTAGTAGTGACTTTTTGTTTTTTTCGCGTCAAGAAAGAAAAAAAATATTGAACCTAGGGACGACCGTAATAAAAGTTTAAACAAACAAATGAACACTCTTTTGTTTTTTATCTTTTAAAGGGGATCCCTTCCTGAAGGGAGCATCTTCACATTCATGACTCAGAGCAGAAGGCAGTGGCACCAGATAGCAAGTGACCTTCCCCACCTTTACAGAGATAAACTGCAAGTTGCATGAAAGCAAACTGCAGTTAGTGACCAGATCCATACGTCAGATCTGGTTGGAAATGGGAGCCAGGAACGGTGATGAGAGGAGGAAGTGTGATTGGAGCGGGAAGCGGAAAAGATGGAATCTCTCTTGTTATTTCGAGCACAAACCTACCCATCATCCTTTTGCTCATTTTCAAATCCTGAAATGGTGACAGCTTGCGGCTGTCAAGAGCAGTAGCCAACGAGTCCCTAGGAACAAATTGAGTTCTGTAAATGTATGGGGTGCCTCCTGATGTCTCAGTCGGGCAAGTGATGGGGTTTACTGTGCAGAGGATCATTCACAGAGAAGCCATCTTTATTTTGTAGTCGGAGAAAAGTACCAGTTTCAGAGAAGATAAATAAGAAAATGCAACTTAGTGGATTGCTCTAGCCTGTCATTTATGGTTTATTTTATTGCTTTTATTTATGAGGCAGAATACTTTTAAGCAAACCAGACAGTCTTTTTTTAACCTCAAAGATTAACAAAACACTTACCCCTTGCCAAAAAAAAAAAAATCAATCAATATTTGATTTACAAATTGTTTTTTACATTTTTTAATCATTTCACTCTAAGCAAGGCAATAAAGCCACTAAGACACAAGAATGAGAAGACTTTGTTAATGAGAAGTGATGTGAAAGAATAATAAAAGAACAAGTTTCAGGAAGACAGAAAATGGCGATAATGCCACTAAGACGCAAGGGGTTACTGGGTGTGAAAGAGAATGAGAAGACTTTAGTGAGGAGAAAGGACAATAAAAGAACAGATTTAAGAAAGAAAGGACAATAAAATGCCATTTAAGACGAAAGAAGATGGGTTATTGGGAGTGAAAGAGAATGAGAAGACTTTATTGAGAAGAAAGGACAATAAAAGAACAGATTTCAGCAAGAAAGAAGATGACGATAATGCCACTAAGACGCAAGTGGTTACTGGGAGTGAAAGAGAATGAGAAGACATTAGTGAGGAGAAAGGACAATAAAAGAACAGGTTTCAGGAAGACAGAAGATGGTGATAATGCCACTAAGACGCAAGGGGTTACTGGGGATGAAAGAGAATGAGAAGACTTTAGTGAGGAGAAAGGACAATAAAAGAACAGGTTTCAGGAAGACAGAAGATGGTGATAATGCCAAAAAGACACAAGGGGTTACTGGGGGTGAAAGAGAATGAGAATACGTTAGTGAGGAGAAAGGACAATAAAAGAACTGGTTTCAGGAAAAGAAGATGGTTTGCCAAAAAGAAGTTACTGGGGTGAAAAGAATGAGAATGATTAGAAAGGACAAAGAACTGGTTTCAAGAAGACAGAAGATGGTGATTAGCATCGTTTAGAAATATGAATCATGTTCAATTTAAAACAACAGGACCTGTTGCATAGATCAATATAGAACATTTACTTTCGAATGATGGCAATCACGATTTGGAGTCAACTTCAAAGTACAAGAGCAAGAAACTCAGACTGAGAGAAAGTGACAGAAAGGAGATTAATTACTTTTTTTTTGATGAAGATGATAGGACAAAGAAAACGAACAATGCGTGGTCTATTAGAAGCGGGATAAAATTTTGAGATTTATGTCAGGGGATATAGTCTTGGGCTGGGGGAATATGGTAATAATGTCTCATCACATAATAAACAAAGGTGAAAGTAAAAACTAATGAAACATTTAATGATTGATATTGCTTCATCAAATTAAAAATGAAGATGAAAATAAGTATTTGTAAAAAAAGAATTAATAATAATATTTCATTAGAAAAAAGGAAAACAGAGGGAAGCCATGTCAAAGCGGTGAGCCAGTGATGTAAGCTGAGGTGCCAGGTCAGGATCAATTACATCGATTACGAACCCTCTTTTGAATTTGTCAAGAATCTCAAGATATATAGTAGAAGAACCAGACTAGATATGGCAGCAGTTTTCAATGTATGGAGGAATGGTAGATTTATAAATGTGCAAGATGGATTCTGGTGAGAAAAATTGTTTGGTACAACATAGAAATGTTGAATAATAATTTTGTCAGGCAGGAGATAAGTTGACATTTAAAACGGTTGGTTATTTTTTTGATAGATATCTTCTCCACCTCAGCCAAACTGAAGTGGCAAGAGTTGAGTTGACATCATAATAACAATGTAAATAGTAATCATTCAACTATTCAATATCATTGTGTTGCATTATGCCACACAATCTATCTTGTTTGACATCCCAAATTTGTAGCTCACCTCTTAGACCGTCCCTTTTGCTAACAACCATTCATTTAATTTCTTTAGCATAAAATAAAGTAGGCTTACCTTGTAGCGTACACCATGTCCCCTTGAAGAGTTACAGATATTAAAGATGCAACGTTGACTCTATCCCGCATTGTAAATGACTGGTGAGCTTCCAATGTCCGGATGAAAGTCAACAGAAACGTTTCATTTTTAATGAGATTCATAAATGCCTGTAATGGTTTGTTGCTGACAGTGTTTGCATTTGGCTGATACTGCAAAAAAAGAAAAAAAGATTAATTAGTTTAATTGAAATTAATTAAAAATTTCATCTTTTCAGAATATATACAAGTTGTGATGGCTAATGTTTGGTTTGTTTTGTTTTATGGCATATCAACACCTCAGTGGCTTTTTTATTGCTGGTAATATTTTTTTTTCAAAAATCTATTTCTGGTAATATTTTTCCTTCAAAAATTTATCACTGGTAATATATTTTCAAAAAAAGTATAGCTGGTAATTTTTTTTTCATAAATGTACAGCTGGTATTTTTTTTTTTTTTAAATTTATTGCTGGTAATAATTTTTTACAAAGTATTTCTGGTATTAAAACATATTTTTACACTTTCATAGTGTTTTGACCCCAGTTTGGGGGTTAAGTCTTTGTCCATAGCTGGGACCCTAACAGGTGCTACCACCCCAGATCAAGGTGGACCTGGGAACACCAGCAATTAAGAGGTGTTTCCACACTCCTCAAAACCTCCTGATCAGATTTCTGTCTGTTAGACATAGCTAATTGTCTTACCCAGGATGCAGATGTTGTTTACCGGATGCAGATGTTGTTTACCGTCATACCCAGGATGGTGTGATGGTTAAATTGTTTTTAATTTAATGCAGGTGCATTGTTTGTTTTTGATTTTTTTGACTGCGCAGTATAGTAGGGTCAGTTGGGCACTATCAGTTAAAAAAAAAAAGAAAAAAAAAAAGAGCAATATGACGCAATTCACTCAGCCAGAAATTTTGAAATATCATGCTGTACTGGTTGGCATTCATAGCAGAAGCTCCTATATGAATATTTCAAAGTACATGGGTGTCAATCTGAAGACACTGCAGAGGATTTGGAAAGAGTTAGATGAGTCCAATGGTGATTATGAAAGTGTTTGGCATGATCACTAGTGGTGGCGATGTTATGCCTCCATTCATCTTCCCCCCAGAGCCTCAGACTCAACATGGAGGCCTACATGAAGTGTCTTAAGGAGGTACTGCTTCTCTGAGTCAAGAGGGTGGCCACTGGAAGACCATATTTCTAGCAACAGGACCTTGCACCATGCCACACAAGCCAGTCACAGCTGTTAGACAATTTCTGCAACCACATCACCCCTTACATCTGACCACCTAAGTCCCCTGACTGCAACCTCATTGTATGGGGTGCAGTTGAGTGAGAGACCAACAAAAACTCCTTGTAACACCAAAGATGAACTGAAGACAAGGCTTATAGCAGCATTCACCAACTTATACAAGGAGACCCTCCAGAAGAGTTATAGGAGAGTCGTTGAAGCCAATGATGATTTTATTAAATAAATTTGTTCTTTAGTATTTCAAGATATTTTTGTGTAATTTTGGTAAATATATCTGAGATGCCAATGTTATTTTCATTTTGGTGTCATTTAGACGACAATTTATCCATCGCACTCTGCATATCTGTTAAAATGAGATGCCAGTGTTATTTTTCATTTAGGCGACAATTTATCCATCGCACCCTGTATATCTGTTAAAATGAGCAGACAGTGTTATTTTTCATTTTGGCATCATTTAGACGACAATTTATCGATCGCACCCTGTTTTCATTAAAAAATGAGGATGCCAATTTATCCATTTCGACACCCTGCATATCTGTTAAAATGAGATGCCAGTGTTATTTTCAAAATTTAGAGATGCCTGTTAAAATGAGTATTATTTTCATTTTGGCATCATTTAGACGACAATTTATCGATCGCACCCTGTATATCTATTAAAATGAGAGATGCCAGTGTTATTTTCATTTTGGCCTCATTTAGATGACAATTTACCCATCGCACCCTGTAGTGAGAAGAAAAAAAAAAAAGCAATGTTTCATGATTTGAACATCTGTTTGGTCTCAAGATCACACCACATCTCAAGTGGAAATCAGAAATGCTGGAAATATGGTTAACAGATTTTATTGCTTCAAGAAATATCCATCACCTTTAACAAGAATGAGATCATACCAAAATAAACAGAATATTGTCAATCCTCATCCTCCAGCATTAAACAGAGATCAAAATCATTTACATGGCTCTATGGATATGCCAGCCTTCTCTGTGGGTGTGAGAGTTGGGCACTCCTGGTTGAGGCAGGCAAAAGGACCCAGACAAATGCTTGAGAAGTCTCCTTTGCATCTCTTGTCGAGAGTACAAAACCAATGACTATATAAGGAACAACATGTCTCATGGGCCAACAGGAATCTCTCCTAACCACGATGGTGTAAAATATTTGGGATAATCTGCTGATGGCGTAAAATAGTCAAGATAATCTGCTGATGGGGTGAAATATTTGGCTAATATAAAGTGCAGTTATATATTGGGGATAATCTGCTAAGGGGTTAAATAAATGAGGTAATCTGCTGATGCAGTTATGTATGTTTGGGATAACCTGCTGATAGGATTAAATATTTGGAATAATCTATTAAGGGCTTAAATAAATAGGATAATCTGCTGATACGGTTATATATTTTGGATAATCTGTTGAGAGGGTTAAATATTTGGGATAATCTGCTAAGGGGTTAAATAAATGGAATAATTTGTTGATGGGATTAGATATTTGAGATAATCTGCTGATGTGGTTATATATTTAGGATAATCTACTGAGGTTTAAATATCTGAGATAATCTGTTAAATAAATGGAGTAATCTTCTGTTGCAGTTAGATATATTTGGGATAATCTACTGATAGGATTAAATATTTGGAATAATCTATTAAGGGCTTAACTAAATGGGATGATCTGTTGATGCAGTTATATACTTAGGATAATCTGCTAAAGGGTTAAATAAATGGGATAATCTGCTGATGAGGTTATATATTTGGGATAATCCACTGATGTAGTTAAATATTTGGGATAATCTTCTTATGGGGTTAACTACTTTGGTTGATCTTTCTGCAAATTATCCTAATATTTGCCAATATGAGCTCTGGTAAAAACATGTATTGATAACAGCAAAAATTGCAATGTGAGCACTGGAAAAATATCGTTGCTGAAGACATTAGGTTTGTAATACACAGAAATTCATACACAGATGTCCATATGGCACAGTGGATAAAGTCATTAGTTAGATCCAGTGACAGGACCCAAAGAGTGTGAGTTCAATACCTGGTTAAGGCGGTGGAGAACTTTGAGAGGGGAATTAACAGAAGATAATTGATATCCATTAGACATGGCACATGGAACTAGAACAGTCTACCCCAGTGAGCGAAATAAAGGGTTGCAGTTTGACAGTCCAATCACCTGAAGAAGGCTGGAGAGTACAACAGCCGAAACGTTGTAATAAATATGGTGACAAAGATGAGGACAATAGTCTGAATAATGTAAATAGTGTACATAATACCTCATCTCAGAAATATAGACAGATACTGAAGGGCCAAACGTTGTAATAATAAATATAATAAAGATGAGGACAATAGTCCGACAAATATGTAATGTAATACCTCATCTCAGGACAGAATGAAAGGTCGTTGTAATAAATATAAAATAGACACAGTATAATGTAAATAGTGTATGTAATACCTCATCTCAGAAATATAGACAGATACTGAAAGGCCAAAACGTTGTAATAAATATGGCGACAAAGATGAGGACAATAGTCCTAATAATGTAAATAGTGTTTAATACCTAATCTCAGAAATATAGACAGATACTGAAGGGCCAAACGTTGTAATAAATATGGCGATAAAGATGAGGACAATAGTCCGAATAATGTAAATAGTGTACGTAATACCTCATCTCAGAAATATAGACAGATATTGAAAGGCCAAAACGTTGTAATAAATATGGCAACAAAGATGAGGACAATAGTCCTAATAATGTAAATATGTAATACCTCATCTCAGAAATATAGACAGATACTGAAAGTCGAAAGTAATAAATATGGCGACAAAGATGAGGACAATAGTCCGAATAATGTAAATGTAACGTACCTCATCTCAGAAATATAGACAGATACTGAAAGGTCAAACGTTGTAATAAAATATGGCGACAAAGATGAGGACAATAGTCCGAATAATGTAAATAGTGTACGTAATACCTCATCTCAGAAATATAGACAGATACTGAAAATGTAATAAATACATATAAAGATGACAATAGTCCTAATAATGTAAATAGATATATCAGAAATATAGACAGATACTGAAAGGCCAAACGTTGTAATAAATATGGCGATAAAGATGAAGACAATAGTCCTAATAATGTAAATAATAATCATCTCAGAAATATAGACAGTGTCAAACGTTGTAATAAATAATGATAAAGATGAGGACAATAGTCCCAATAATGTAAATAGTAACTTAATACCTAATCTCAGAAATATAGACAGATACTGAAAAACGTTGTAATAAATAAACAAAGATGAGGACAATAGTCCTAATAATGTAAATATGGCGAACAAAGAAATATAGACAGATACTGAAATTAAACGTCCTAATAAAATGGCGATAAAGATGAGGAGGACAATAGTCCGAATAATGTAAATACCTCATAATACTCATCTCAGAAATATAGACAGATACTGAAAGGCAGAACGTTGTAATAAATATGGCGACAAAGATGAGGACAATAGTCCAATAATGTAAATAGTGTACATAATAATTTAATACCTCATCTCAGAAAATATAGACAGATACTGAAATTTAAACTGTAATAAAAGGACAAAGATGAGGACAAAGTCCTAATAATGTAAATAGTTGAATAACACTCATCTCAGAAATATAGACAGATACTGAAAGGTCAAACGTTGTAAATAAAAGATGATGAGGACAATAGTCCGAATAATGTAAATAGTGTACATAATACCTCATCTCAGAAATATAGACAGATACTGAAACAAACGTTGTAATAAATATGGCTACAAAGATGAAGACAATAGTCCTGAATAATGTAAATAGTGTACATAATAATCTCAGAAATATAGACAGATACTGAAAGGTCAAACGCTGTAATAAATATGGGACAAAGATGAGGACAATAGTCCGAATAATGTAAATAGTGTACTTAATACCTAATCTCAGAAATATAGACAGATACTGAAGGGCCTAAACGTTGTAATAAATATGGCGACAAAGATGAGGACAATAGTCCTAATAATGTAAATAGTGTAATGTAACACCTCATCTCAGAAATATAGACAGATACTGAAAGGCCAAACGTTGTAATAAATATATGTCAAAGATGAGGACAATAAATAATAAATAGTGTCGTACCTCATCTCAGAAATAGACAGATACTGAAAGGTAAACGTTGTAATAAATATGGCGACAAAGATGAGGACAATAGTCCGAATAATGTAAATAGTGTACGTAATACCTCATCTCAGAAATATAGACAGATACTGATGCAACGTTGATTTGGCAAAATATCCTCCAACCCAACGTCAATATTTAACCAGTTTAACCCTAGTTAAACCAATGACATAAATCATTACTAACAATGACCTAAACAGCAACAATACTGAAAAAAAATCAAAAAAGTCCTTTTCTTCCGTCTGGAGTTAAATGCATTTGAATACTGAATTTACCCATGGTGCATTGCTTTGCACATGTGAACTCTGAAATTCAAATTTGGCAACATTCTTTGTGCAAAATACTTTTTCCCCCTCCAATTCACTCTACCAAGTAAACCATCTTCAATCTTTCTTGCTTTCCCTCATCTTAGTCATCAACTGATTAAAGTTGGTTTCAGAACTTGGTGGACACAAAACACCCAATACAGACAGACGGCTACGCAACTGAGAAGGCGGGAAATTCTGTAAGATAACTTGATTCCATAATGTGTATTTTTCTTGGAATATTTTTTTGTTTTGTTGCCAGAGTTCATTTGAATGCAGACAGAGGCGGATTGAAAATTTTATAAAGCTGATTTGCTTTTACAATGTATGCAGGAAATGAGGAGAGGTGCTGGGGTTGGGGGGATGCACATTTGAAGAAATGTTCCTGTTTACAAGGTTTGGTAAAAGTCTTTGAGGAAAAAAAAAATGGATGGAAAAATGAAGCTGGGGACAAAACTGGTGAGCCAAGAAAGGTTCAGGTAAAGAGAGAAGGGGAGTGTTAACTCAAGTTTAAGGAGAAGGAGAGATGAAAAAATAGAAAAAAATGGGAAGCAAATAAAGTTTAAAAAACATAGAACGGAGAGTCAAAGAGGGAAGAACAAAAAAAGAGTCAAGGAAGAGAGAGAGAGAAAGAAAAAGTGGAAGAACGAGAGAGAGAAGGAAAACAAGCAAGAGAGAGAAAGAAAGATGATGAGAAAGAAGACGAGGGAGAGAAAGAAGACTGGGAAGAGATGGAGAGAAAGAAGACGAGGAAGAGAGGGAGAGAAAGAAGACGAGGAAGAGAGGGAAGACGAGGAAGAGAGGGAGAGAAAGAAGATGAGGAAGAGAAGGAAGATGAGGAAGAGAGGGAGAGAAAGAAGACGAGGAAGAGAAGGAAGATGAGGAAGAGAGGGAGAGAAAGAAGATGAGGAAGAGAAGGAGAGAAAGGAGACGAGGAAGAGAAGGAGAGAAAGGAGATGAGGAAGAGAAGGAGAGAAAGGAGACGAGGGAGAGAAAGGAGACGAGGAAAAGAGGGAGAGAAAGGAGACGAGGAAAAGAGGGAGAGAAAGGAGACGAGGAAAAGAGGGAGAAAGATAAAGAAAACAAAGGAGAGAGACAGAAAACATGAAAGAGAGGGGGTGAGAAAGAAAACAAGAGGGAGAGAAAGAAAACAGAGAGAGGGGAAGAGAACAAGGAAGAGAGAAAAAAACAAGGAAGGGAGAGGGAGAAAGAAAACAAAAAAGAGCATGACACACAAAGAAGAAAGAAAGGGAGAGAAACAAGTAAAAGATGGAAAAGAGAGAGAAAGATGTTGGAATAGAGAGAGAGAGAGAGAGACAAAGAAAACAAGGAATAGAGAGAGAGAAAGAGACAAAGAAAAGAAGGAATAGGGAGAGAGAAAGAAGGAAGAGAGAGAGAGAGAAAGAAAACAAGGAGAGAGAGAGAGAGAAAGAAAACAAGGAGAGAGAGAGAGAGAAAGAAAACAAGGAGGAGAGAGAGAGAAAGAAAACAAGGAGGGAGAGAGAGAGAAAGAAAACAAGGAGGGAGAGAGAGAAAGAAAAGAAGAGAGAGAGAGAGAAAGAAAACAAGGAGGAGAGAGAGAAAAGAAGGAGGAGAGAGAGAAAGAATAGAAGGAGGAGAGAGAGAAAGAATAGAAGGAGGAGAGAGAGAAAG